CCTGATCATCGGGTCCAGCATGGGCGTCAGCATAAGCGTCAGCGTGCGCGAGCGACCGTCAACGCTGGGGGCCACTGCCTTGAAGGTCGCCGTGCGCAGCGTGTCCAGCTCCATGGTGGCGCAGCCCGTGACCGCGACGCCGTAGGTCACGCTGGGCTCGATCCCAGCACGGGCCACCTTGCGCACGGCCTTCTTGCGCCCAGCCCCAGTCTTCAGGATGGCCACGCGACGCTGGCGTAGCCCTGCTTGAACCAGCTTCTCCTGCCGCACCTTGCGCACGATGCGCCTGCCGCAGGCGAAGTCGATGCCCAGGTTGCGCTCGCCCTTGACGGAGAGCACGCCGAGGGGACGGCGTAACCGAGCGGCCAGGGCGTGCCGGCCTGCTGGGAGGTTGGAGAGCGCCCTCGACTTCTTGACCGCCACGTTGAGGTCAACGTCCAGCAGCAGCATCTTGAGCTCGAACGCTGCTTCTGCCACCTCCTTAGTCACACGCACGAGCCCGCCAACTCGGTGCAGCATGAGGTCGTCTACGACGACGGCCAGAGAAACTGTCGGGTGATGTAATACCAGGCGATCCAGCGGCCCGATCAGAATAAGCTTCAGCAGCGCCGTCGCAAAGCCATCACCTGGGAGGATCGACTGCCTGGCCTCGATCACGCTCGAGGCCGCGTTGCCCATGCAGAGGACCCGAGGCGCGCAGTAGAGCTCCAGCGTCAGCTTGAGCTGCCAGAGGGGAAACCCCGTGGCGACGGCGGCGTCCAGCAGCCAGTGGTGGCGCACCTGCTCGAACGCCTTGAGCAGGTCGAGCAGCACCGCCACGGCCACCCACGACTCGGCGTCCCCGCAGTCGGCACCGCGCTGCGTGGCCCACTCGCCGATCGCGGCCTGGTGCCACACCGCACGCTCGCAGCTGCGGCCAGCAGCTGCCCACCAGTAGGGGCGGTCGTTGTCCTGCTCCCACTTGCGCGCGACGCCTCGGCGCAGCCGCGCCTGCACCCTCGCCAGCACCATGATGACGGCGATGGGCCTGACGCCGCCGAGCCGCTTCTGGATGAAGCCGATCTTGGTTGTCATGAGCGGCCAGGCTGCTTCGCGCTCGACGGCCAACAGGATGTCGATCAGCACCTCCAGCGCTTCGTCGCACAGCTCGTCTAGCTGCCGCGGCCGAACGGAGCAGAAGGACATGCCCGTGCTGCCCTTGAACGAGCGCAGCACCTTGCGGAGCTCGGGGACCGTGGGCCTGGGCGGCCTCTCGCCGAGGTCGGCTGGCCACTGCAGCCGCACTTGCTCACAGGTGGTCCTCCACCAGCGGCTCCACTCGACCTCCAGCGCCGTGACCTGCTGCCCCAGGTCCATGGGCTCGAACAGCTGCTGGTGGTCGTCGGCGTCCTGGTCGCCCACGGCGTCGCCGTACGGGCTGGAGTCGAACCCGACGGGCAGGCGGGACACCGCATGTAGACCACCTCCACCGCCTTCGGCCTGCTTCTCGACCCAGTGCTGGAACTGGACGGTGCGCTGGGCCATGTCCTTCTCAGCCATGTCGAGCGCCACCGCTTGCGCCCCAGCGTGCAGCTGCAGCAGCTCAGCGGGGGTCAGCGCCGCCAAGCGCAAGTTGCTAAGCAGCGACCACCATGCAACAGCTTGGGGCAACACCTGAGGGCAGGACAGAACCTCGCCAGCATCAGGTGCCGCCTTCACTGTGGCTGGGGCTCTGTCTAGCAGCCTCCGCGCACCTCGAAGAGCGTCGAGACGCGCGTTGGGCTGCTCCACGTCGGCGATGTCCCGCAGCAGGCTGGCAGCACGGTGCATCCATGTCGCCTCAGCCGAGACCCGCGGCCAGCGGGCGCCACTCACGGGCAGCCGCCGAAGCCAACGTGGCTCCACGGGGCGAGCTCGCCCCTTGTGCTTGAAACTGTCCTCCTCGACCTGGTAGATGTCGATCCACTCGTCCTCGGCTGCGTCGAGGAACCTCTGCCATGCGGCGGTGAGGTTACCCTTGACGTCGGTGCTACCCTTGACCTGATCCCGCACACACTCCTCCAAGTGGCACGATCTTCCCTCACTCACGGGCCCCGCAACGGGCGGCGGTGAGGTCCCACGGGAAACGTCCAGGCACTCCGACTCCTGCGCGCCTGCCAGCACGCTCTGCAGCTCGTGACCGATCTCGGCCCAGCGGTCGCCGTGTGCGACGCGAGCACATCCAGCAGGCCGCTGGACAGGGAAGGGCTTGGGCACTGGCACGACCCGAACCCACGGCCGTTGGCGACACGCCTCCAGCTCCAGGATGACTGGCTTGTGCGGGTAGACGGGCGACCCGCTGACCACGCTGATGCTGGTCACCTTGAGCCCACGCGAGACGATGAACATGTCGATCGTCCGCTTCGACTGCGCACAGGTGGGCTCCAGCGTGTCGACGACGACCGCGTCGAAGAGCCGCAGCACGCCTGACTTGGCCAGCTCCTGCTTGGTACAGTTGAAGTCGCCCCCGACCACGTATGGGCGACCGTACTCGCGCAGCCTGCAGGCCAGGTCGCGCAGCATCTGGGCGTTGAACGCGTTGACGCCGACGCCTGACTGCAGGTAGATGTTGGCCATCACAATGCCGCCTCGCAGCAGCCCCGAGTGATGGAGTACTTGCACGCGCCCTTCTTGAAGCACAGAAGGCCGCGACCCCAGCATGGCGGCAAGGCCATGCTCACTGCGCACACAGGTGAGCAGCCCCCCAGTTGCCAGCCCTCCGGCCAGCGATTGCACCGCGGCAGCACCACATGCTCGAAGCCCACGACGGCGAAGCTCTCCTTCAGCGTCCGCCGTGCGCGCCTCTCCCAGCCGCGTCTCTTGGAACAAAATTGCGTCGCAGCTCGTCAGCTCCTCGACCAGGCACTTGTCGATGTTCGAATACGCATTCATATTCAACGTGACGACACGCCAGGGGCTGCTGCGGCTAAAGCTTCCGCCGCTTGGACTCCATCGCGGCGACGTGCTGTTGCTGCAGGTGGGTCTGCAACTCCTCGAGGAACTTCCGCTTCTCCGCGTCCGTGCCGATGAAGTCCTCCGCCGCGGCCTTGAAGGTGTCGCCCGTCGCGAAGGCCAGGGGGTCGCTCTCCAGGTCCATGTCCTCGGACTTGCCCACGGGCTTCTCAGCGGCATCGTCGGCTGCCCCAGCGGCGGCGGCAGCGCGGCCTGCAGGTGCAGCTCCTCCATCGCATCCTCCAGCAGCGACTGGTTCAGGTGGCGCGGCAAGCGCGGACACACCTGCCAGCAGCGCTTGGAGAGGTCCCAGCAAGGACTCTGGAAGTTGGACGCCCTGGCTCTCCGAAGAGGTTCCCACGAGCGTCCTGAGCTTCTCCACGTTGCCGAGGATGCCGCTGAGATCTGCTCCTCCAGCAGCTGGCTTGGGCTCGGCGCCGTTGGCGAGCGCGGCCTTCGCCTTGGAGACGGCCTCGTCCAGCTCGAGCTGCAGCTGCGCGACCTTCTCCTTCTGCTGGAACGCTGCCTGCAGCGCCTCCGTAACCATCTTCTGCTTCTTGTTGTAGTCCGCCTTGGCCTGCTGGAGCCGCTTGCAGGCCTCGTCGGCTGCGACCTGCGCAGACTTGACGGACTTGACATCGGACAGCGCGCCCAGCTGCTGCTGCAGCAAGAAGCGCGACTGTCGCAGGCTGTGCTTGTCGCTGGCGGCCAGCGTGACGGACAGCAGCTCGAAGTCGTCGTCGCTGAGGGCCATGAAGCGGTCGCGGGCCTCGGGCGAGAGCTTGGGCGGCTGCGCCCCAGAGCCCCCGCCACCTCCACGCTTCGGGCTGGCCATCGTATGCCAAGGGCGGGAGTCTGCACCACCGTCCGCCCACGCCCCACGCGCTGGAGGAGGGCCAGAACGAGGAGCAGGTACACGATTGGTCGGCCTGCAGCCCGTGCACCCCGCTTGCCGACACTTCGCGCGCCAGCCCAGGTTCTTGTAGTGGCAGCGGTTGCAACGCCAACTCGTCCCCTGAGCTGCGTCACGCGCTGCACCAGCGCCAGCTCCTGCCATGGCTCTGCAGCTGGATGCGTTCGAGCCGACAGGAACGGGAAAGGCCTCCGTTTACCCACCGACCCGAGCGCGAGGAGGGTGGCCAGGAGACGATGCCAGGCTTCAAGAAGCCTTGCCTGCCGCGGACTAGCGGTATCCGCTTGGTTCCCAGAGGAACCCTGCATCTTGAGCCAAAATGGCTACGGAGGAGGAGGAGGAGGAGGAGAAGGAGGAGGAGGAGGAGGAGGAGTACTTGTGAGATCGTCAGGTCCACGTCCAGTGCTCATTGAAAACATGTGTATCGAGATGGAGGAGGAGGAGGAGGAGGAGGAGGAGGAGGGGAGGAGGAGGAGGAGGAGGGGGAGGAGGAGGAGGAGGGAGGAGGAGGAGGTCTTGTGAGAACGTCAGGTCCACGTCCCGTGCCCATGGAAGACATGCGCATGTCGAACCGGGCACGTCGGAGGCCCCTCCTGCAGGTTCTGTGCCCAGGCCGCGCCTACCGATACCGGTGTGACGTCCAGCCTCCTCCACCTCCTCCTCGATCCTTCCCTCCTCCTCCTCCTCCTCCTCCTCCTCCTTCTCGATCCTTCACCTCCTCCTCAATCCTCCACCTTCTCCTCCTCAACTCCTCCTCCTCCTCCTCCTCCTCCTCCTCCTCCTCCTCCTCCTCCTCCTCCTCCTCCTCCTCCTCCTCCTCCTCCTCCTCCTCCTCCCCCTCCCTCTCTTTCTCCCTCCCTCTCGTCCTCCCTTTGCCTCCTGCGGCGGCTTGAACACTTAATCCGTCCCTTTTGTTCTCCAGGACTTGGGGGGGGAGGCAGGAGGAGACGGAGAGAGGGGAGGCGAGTGCTGGAGGAGGGGGGGACAGAGACGGGGGGCGAGGGGAGGCCGGGTGCCGGAGGAGGCCAGGCAGGAGGAGGGAGAGAAAAAATTGGGGGGGGAGGTGAGAGAGGAGGCCAGGGAGGACGAGGGTGGGAACTGGGAGGGGGGAGGACGAGGAAAAGGGAGAAGAAGTCTCTTGCTCCCCAAGAGGAGCCTATCAGCAGTGCAGTAATGATACGAGGTGGAGCTTCGTTTTTGTTGTTGTGATCTCAGTGCCCTCGTGACGCGCTGTTGCGATGGAGTGCCAAGCGCTGCGGTGATGATCTTCCAGAGTAGAGTGCCGACTGCTCCGCCATCCAGTGCAATTCAGGAACATGCAGTGCGCTCTGCTGTCACTATCTCTCCAAGCAGTGCTCGCACGAAGGGGCTCTCGTTCACTCCGCGAGGCGGCTGTCCTGCACTTCCCGGGTTTCCGCTCGGTGGGCGTGCGTGCCCGCCTTGTGCCTTGCCCCCGTCCGTGCGCTGGCTGGCCTTTCCAGGCTTCCGCTCAGTAGGCGCCCGTGCCCTCCTCGTGGCTGTCCTCCGCCGCCTCCTCCTCCTCCTCCTCCTTCTCCTCGTGACTGTCCTCCTCCGCCGCCTCCTCCTCCTCCTCCTTCTCCTCCTCGTGGCTGTCCTCCTCCGCCGCCGCCGCCTCCTCCTCCTCCTTTCCCGAGTTCTCGCTCCGTGGGCGCCCTTTGCCTGCCTCTCGCTCTCTCCGTGCGCCCCGGGCTGGCACCTCCGAGTGCCTTTGCGCAGTGGGCGCCCGAGCCTGCCTGCAGCGTCCGCTCTATCCCGCCCGCGCCCTGTCTCCCCAATTAGTGCTTCGCGCGCCCCGCCTAGCTCTTAACCGGAAGAGGCCCGCTCCCGACCCGCCGACCAACAAAAGTAGCGTCCGCTCCGTGCGCTGGCTCGTCTTCCCAGATGCACACGTGGTCACCACTTGCGGTGTCTCTTGCGGTCTCGCGGTGTCTCGCGGCGTCCCTTGCGTGCCAACCCTACTGGGGGTAGACTGCACCAGTATTTGGCCCAGTGCTTGAGAAGGAGAGTCCGCTCACTGCTTTCCCCAGCGCAGCGAGGAAGCTAGCACGCAGTCCGTAACATTGGCATCTTGTTTGCCTGGGGGGGGACAAACAAATGACGCACACATGGTCACCACAACGTATATTGCAACTCGCGGACTGCACCGTAGTGTCTGCACCCGGCAGCTTGGATTGCGTGCAACCCTCGACTTGACAGCAGGAAGATCAGCGTTCACCCCTCTGCCAGGGCCGGACATGCCCCCTCCGCGTATTGCGTTGTCAGATTGTTGTGCATTATCGTTCGTTTCGATTTTGCATAGCACACCGCGTGCCTGCGTATCAGCATATCGATCACATGGTACTATGTTGGCCACATGCGCTTGCACCTGCGCGCGCATGCCAACCTCATGGAATGAATTCGGCGCGGCCCAAGAACGGGAACGTTTCCTGGTGCATGGGCGCATTGCTTGGCATTGCTTGTCGTTGCTCGGTATTGCTTGGCGTTGCTGGTCTCTTTTGGTTGGGCATTCGTCAGCGTTGCTTGACATTGCTTGGCGTTGCATGGAAGACTTCAGACCAAGCAGCCCGAGGAAGGGTTTCTTAAACACAGCAAGGAGCAAAACCGAGCAAACCCGAGGCCAGGCATTTCCAACACTCCAACAGGTCCTACGGAGACTAGACCAAGCAGCCCCAGGAAGGTTTTTTCTGAGAGCACTAAGACACCGCACCACGCCATCCGCGGCGGAAGGCTTCCCCAAGAACAGCGAGGAAACAGCACGAAGCAACCCGACGAGGACCTTCCGAACAAGTCGGCAGACACTACGTAGCGCGGGGGCCTGCCACAGAGCGCAGACCCCCGCGCTACGCCGGGCCTTCTGCCTCATGTTTCTGCCCACCTCTTCTGGGCAAGGGGTGGCCTTCCGGAGGTCCGCGCGGACTTCTTGGGCCGCGCTCGGTCGCCCCCTTGGGCGCCACGGGATGGGAGGATTCCTTTTGTGGGTTCCTGGTCCTCCTCCTTTTCCTCCTCGTCCTCCTCCTCCTCGAACAGGCAACCCGACGAACGCTTGGGAAGGCAAGAAGACCAGGGAGGTTCCAGGAACGCACAGTGAGGAAACGGAATTAGCAGGAAAAATCCCGAGGAGCACCGGACGGCGCAGCCCTCGTACACACCGACGGTTCAAGAACAAAGCAGAGCCTTCCAGACAAAGCGCAATTGGTGAAGCAGTGGCGCGGCGCCCCGGCTTGCCCAGAGGCCCACCGAAGAGCGTTCCTAGAACATCGTTGTGTGGTTTACAGGGATTGTTCTTAGAACAGTTCTGGCCGAGACCGTCCGGTCTTAATGCATGGGCCTCATGTATCAGGCTATATAAATACGCATTGTGTTTTAGATCATCCCTTTTGTTGTAAGAACATGTCCTGGTACGCCTGTGGGGATGCTGGCTCAGATGATGGATTCTAGTTGGGACAACACGTTTAACATGTTTTGTTAGGAGCGATTCGCCCATTTTGGTTATTGTGAACACACGGTTGCGAGAGTTCTGCGCGCGCACACCCTTGTGAATTCACGACAGCAAAAGCATCGGTTGGTTGCCATTCTGTCGAACGAGACCACGCGAGCCACACGCTCGCGCACGTCGAAATCATTAAACAAGCATGGCGCGCCCGCCAACTCCGCCAAATAATAAAACGTGGGCGTCTCCGTTCGCGCACATCAAGAGCCTTTCAACATCACTGGTGGTCGAAAACTGGTGAAAACTCAAATGCTCTGCAATACAAGATCTGGAAGAATTCAGGAATTCATGCGCGCACCTTTCTCGTCCCTATCGTCACCATCGTCATCATCGCCCGTCGCCCTCAGCACCATCGTCGTCATCTTCGCCAGCGTCATCTTTGATACCGTCATCACCATGAGCATCCCCGTGGTCATGACCCCACCGTCGTCATAAACATCGTGTTGTTGTCGTCGTCCTCGTCGGCAGCGCCACCATCAAACTATCATCATCAACACTCGCGCGCTCGAGTCATTGTTTTTTAACGAGAAGGGTCCTCGCGTCACTACGCCAGTCGAAGTAGGTATTTAATCGCTTCGCTCATTCCGCCGGTCCCTTTCGCATCACGGCGGTTGCGCGGTGGTGTGCTCATACCTGTTGGGAGCGCTGGGGCAGGCAGAGCCTATCCTCGAGGAGATCTTTGGAGATGTGGTTCGCACCCTGCCGAAGAGCCGATATCCGAGGCGGGAATTTCTCCATATCCACCGCCTGGAGGGTCAGTTTGCGGAGCCTCGGCAGGCGGTGGATGTGGACATATTCGAGCCCCCGGGGGCCAAAATATATCCATATCCACCGCCCGCTGGGGCACCAGGACGTCGGTTCCCAGGCGGTGGATATAGATAAATTCCCGCCTCGCACGATAGATTGCCCCAGAGGGCGCCAAGATGGCTCAAGAGAGTTGTTTCTTCCTTTCTTTGAAGGCCAAAACAGCAGTTTCTCAGAGCCTGGCTTGACATTTTCTGGCAATTTTGATGTGTACGAAGGAGTCCCAGAATACGACCAGACACAGTGTATCTTTGCATTCAAGAGGTACGCGTGTTTTCGCACAGTCGGAAACAGAGGTGTCGTTCGTGACAGCGTCGGCCTGCCCCGTGTGGTTGGTTGTGGCAGGTCCTGATGAGGATAGCCAACCACACGCCGAAACGCTGGAGACGGACTGGACCAGGGGTGCCCGAAAGAGTGGGCATACTCAGTCCTAGACCAGAAAGGAGACCAAAGGAAGTTGCGCAGTCAACTGCTTCTCGGCGACCCTGGCGCGGCGCAGCCGTTGCCAGGCGAGCCTGAGGCGGGTGTACACAGAATGCGTTGTATGTTGCACTAATATGGATATGCTCGGCAAATGATTGGTTATCAGCCGAAAGTCTCTCTAGGAGCTCGTCTTCGGTGGTGCTGCAGGCGCAATGGGTATGATCAAACGATTGGAAGAATCGATTGCCCTGAACACTGCCGGTGGTTCCTCACGGGCCCTCGGAACAGGTTGCGTCGCATGCCCCAACTCCAGTGGTGGCTTTGCCAAACAGGGGGCATCGCATGTGCGCTCTGCTTATCCACGAGTGCCTAACGCAGGGGTCGGGTGGCTCACACCCCTGGGCCGTGGTTAGTGTCCGCTCAAGGAAAAAGGTGCAATCGCCCGGCTTAGCTGCGGTTGCTGGCGGTGTCACGAAAGAGGGGGCAGTTGTTTCCTCCCTTGTTCGAAGGCCAAAACAATTGGTTCTCAGAGCCTGGCTTGGCATGTTCTGGCAATTTTGGTGGTGTGTACGAAGGAGTCCCAGAATACGACCAGACACAGTGTATCTTTGCATTCAAGAGGTACGCGTGGTGTTTTCGCACAGTCGGAAGCAGAGGCGTCGTTCGTGACAGCGTCGGCCTGCCCCGTGTGGTTGGTTGTGGCAGGTCCTGATGAGGATAGCCAACCACACGCCGAAACGCTGGAGACGGACTGGACCAGGGGTGCCCGAAAGAGTGGGCATACTCAGTCCTAGACCAAAAAGGAGACCAAAGGAAGTTGCGCAGTCAACTGCTTCTCGGCGGCCCTGGCGCGGCACAGCCGTTGCCAGGCGAGCCTGAGGCGGCTGTACACAGAATGCCTTGTATGTTGCACTAATATGGATACGCTTGGCAAGTGACTAAGAGAGCTCCATCAGAGTTTCGAAATGAACTTGGGATGTGGGTCTGAGTCCTCATGGCTGTTTTTTTTTTGGTCTCTTCGGAGGGCTTTCGGGAGCCTCTGGGAAGCAGTGTTGAGGCCTCTGTGGAGCTGTTTGGAGGCTTCCTTGGGGCCTCTTGGGGCTTCCTGGGGGCCCCTTGGGGCTTCCTGGGGGCTTGTTGGGGGTCTTGGGAGCTTCTTCGGGGTTTATTTGCTGGCCTCTTGGGACCTCTCGGGGGGCTCTTGGGGGCCTTCGGGGGCTCCCTAGGCGCCTCTGGGGGGCGAGAGTTTGACATGTCTGTTCGGGTTCCCCATTTGGGCCCCCTCTTGGGGCCATCCTGGGGCCGTCTTGGAGGCCTCTTGGGCCGTCTTAGAGCCGTCTTGGGTCATTTGGAAGCCCTCTTGGAAGCTTGTTGTGCCGCTTTGGAACGATATTGGGGCCTCTTGGGCTGTCCAGGGCGGTCGGCAGCTAGAAAAGGCGGCACCGCCAAAATCGCCCGACAACTTTTTAGCAGAATCGGCGATGTTTGTGTCTTCGGGGCCTCTCGAAGTCCCTTTTGGAACCCTCCTTGAGCGTCTTGGGCGCTGCTTGGGCCGTCTAGGGACAAACGTGGGCCATCTTGGAACGCTCTTGGCCTGATGCCGTGGGGCGTGCCACCTTTTTGGCATCTCCTTGGGCCCCTCGGGAGGGCTCCGTGGCCGCGTCCAAGAGTTCCGGCATCTCTGACACGACCTTGTCGGGACTTTGCCAGGGTGTTTTTCGTCCGCGGACCCCAGGGGCCGACATTCTTAAACTCTAACGGGATTTTAACACAATTGTGACCCGTTGAATGGGTCTTCGCGTCTTTACGCCAGTAGATTTATTTCAGCAAATTGCGGGTTGGCTGATGGGATGTTTGCAGGACCTTTGGAGGTGGCCGCCCGCAGATGGCAACACGATGAATTCCAACCCACGGATTGTACCACACAGCTTGCAACTTATGATTGGCACATAACATCCGCACATCACATTGACTGCACCACATATGTCCACCACACTACGTTTAGTGAACCCACATATTTCACAACCGAGGCCGCAACACATAGACTGCACAACACGTATCTTTCACTATATTACTCGTACAGCATACATTGGTCCCATGAGTTGCGCCGTGTAGCTTGCACAGCGTATATAGTATCCAATAGATTACACCGCACATAGCCAGTGCACGTCGAGGGTGCCCACTGTTTGGAGTCCACGCTGGCACACTAATCTTATAATCTCAGCTTCCGAGTAGCTCGGCCCAGCTGCCTAGGCTCTGTTGGCAAATCTTGCCAAGGGGGCTAACGCAGCGCGGCTGTATGACCAGTTCGCCATTCTCCGCCGCTCGACCCCTTTTGCTCTTGGCGTGCAATACTTTTTTGCCTTTTCAAAACAAGGCGTCACGCGCGCCCTGCGAACGCCATTGTCTCTTACGTGAGGCTCTGGATCGCGCACAGACAGCCCTGGCCCAGGTAGCTGCCGAATAGTCTGAGGCGGTCTCAACACCCCGACTCTGGGGCGCCTAGTGCCCCAGGGGCCGGAAGCGGCACCCGAGTGTTGAGACCGCCGTAGACTATTCGTGGGGCCTGTTGAGGCCACCTGGGACCACTTGGGGCAGCCGTCGGTGCACAACCCGAAGCCTTACCAGTCAGCAGTGAACTATCGTCGGCGGCCCGGTCGCAGTCTGGCGGGGTGCGTCCGATCGCCCTCCCACGGGAGCGGGGCCTCCGCCATGCCGCGGCCAGGCTCCCCATGGACTTATGCAGTGAGGCAGGCTCCTCGGATCCACCCCATCTACTCCTCACCCTCTCCTCTATCCTCTTGCTCCTCCCTTCTCTATGTCTCCTCCATTCTTCCTCCATTCCCCACCGTTCCCTCCTTACTTCTCCATCCTCCGTCCTCCTCATCCATCCTCCTCCATTCGCCTCCTGCCTACCACCTTCCTTTCTTCCTTCTCCCATCGTCCATCCTCCTCGTTCTCCTCCTCCTCCCTTGTCCTCCTCCCTCATGCTTGAGCCTTCCCCGTCTGCCTTCGTCGTCCATCCTCCCCATCCCCCTCGACAATTGAATGGCCGAGAGCCGAAGAGGTCGCCCAGCAGCCGCGTCCCGTCGCAAGCGACGACTGGGCGGCTGGCATCCGAAGAAATAGATTCTCGCTGGAAGCTGTACGTGACCATGCCAGTCAGCTGGGCAGGGCCGGGGAGTGCGCACAGGCAGCCCCAGGACTGACCGTGGCGGTCCCCGCTGGTCCCCGCGTGGTTTTGCCTCGACCTCGGTCGGCCTCCAGGGGGAGTTCCTCTTCAGACCTTACGAAATCAGGGTCAACGTTGAGCGGGTTCAGTCCAGCAGTAGCGAAGCGTCCTGGCTCGCCTATAGGCCTACCAAAGAGTGTTCTAAGAACCTTTTGTAGTTTCAGCGAAATGTTCTTAGAACTTTTCTGGCTAGGACTGTCTTGGTTTAACACATCGGGTCTATGTTCTCAGAACCTCGTTTTCGTCCTTAGACTACTTGTGGGTTCTAAGAACATTTCGTGGCAGGCCTGTAGGAATGCCGGGACGGTCGGTCCCTGCTCAATTCAGGGGGGAACGCATCGAACCCATTGATCGCCGGCAGGGGCCCGCTAGCCAACCCCGGCCAGGAACGTGCGGATTCGATATCGGGGGCCTATCGCCGACCCTTGCAATTCTCCCCTTGTCCGACCCTTCTCGTAGGAGCCTCTATTTGCACGAGCACGACCAGTTGTTTCCACTTTGTTGCTGTTTGGGAGCCTTGAGACGTGGATCAATGCAAACGGGGGTCAACCAGAGCGCCCGATCTGGCAGGATCCTGCAGGGCTAGGGTCGCATTGACCCGGGTTTGGGTGCAGCATCTTGCAGGGTCTTGCAGGATTTTGCAAGGCCCGATTGACCGGGGTCTGGATTGACCCGGGCCAGCAGATCCCCGAGCTGTGTACATGTGTTGACATTGCGTCGGTATTATGTGGCATTCTTCTGGCAGCCCTGCAAAAGGAGTACACTGAAGGCATTTTCGCACCGGCATGCCCATACGAAGGGATTATGTTGGAAGCGATTTCGCATATCAGCCAGCGTGGACCCGAAACAGCGCGGACCCGATGAAGAGCAATGTACGTGGTGCGGTATATGTCGAGCAATATATGTGGTGCAATCTGCGTGGTGCAACCTGTGTTGTGCAATAGTTGTTGTGCAAGCTACGATGTGCAATAGATGTGCTGCAGCGGATGTGCTGCAATCTATGTGATGCAATTGACGTGCCGAACTTGTAGTTGTCAACTCCACTGCTCGCGCAATCATCCCACTCACCCACCCGCAAGATGGTTTGCAAAGCCCATGCGGAAGCGATTGCGATAAGTGCCTGGTGCCGGTTGCTGGATGGTGCATCTCTGCGGCCGCGCTAGCCCGCGCATGCTCGCGCGCGCGCGCGCACCGGGCAGCTGACCGCTGGGCACATCCCAGCGGGCACTTCAGTGCGAGTCGACGACTTGAGCGGGCACGGTATCATGGCAACGCGAACGATTTCGACATGCGCGCGCGAAGCCCTTTTGGTGTTATGAAAACGTTGGAACAACGAGAGTGTTCTTTAGAGGTCGCAAGGGGGAGCGCGCAAGTTTCTTTGGGAAATCAGAATTGCGAAACTTTGTGTTATATATAGAGGTGTTTGTGTGTCTGTGTTTTTGGACACTCGATTTTGAAACACGAAACCGCATGTTTAGAAGGAGTTTGGCATGCGCGCGTAACGACGCGCGCGTGCGCACTTTGTCCGGTTTTTTGTTCGCAAGGGATTCTTGAACACCTAAGCCTATGATTTGTGATGAACGAGTGCGCGCGCATATTTTCTCCAGAGGATGACGGGGGGGGGTCGACACCAGTTGGGCTGGGATGGTGCGAGTTCATATCTAGGATGGACGATGGAGCAGCATCATATGTAAACTGCAACGAAAAAGGGGTACCGATCATCCCTGGTGGTTAGAGTTTGTTATTGTTTGAGAATGGAGAAATCACGTGTGCAGTTGTCAACTCCATTGCTCGCGAAACCATCCCACCCACCCACCCACCCACCCGTAATGTTCCTTGCCAAACGCGAGCGGCAGCGATTGCGATGAGTGCTTGGTGTTGGTTGGTGCATCTCTGCGGCCGCGCCAGCCCGCGCATGCACGTGCGCGCGGCGATCAGCTAGTTTGGCGCGTCCGACGCGAACGCGGTGGCGCTGACCGCTGGGCACATCCCAGCGGGCACTTGAGTGCGAATCGGCGACTTGGGCGGGCGCGGTATCATGGCAGCGTCGGCGACAATAGACACGATGATGGTAGTACCGATGCTGGCGACGATGCTGACAGCGACTACGGCACGGCCAGTGACGGCGCCGATGCTGATCACGCCGACGATGCTGACGGTGTCCTCGCGTCGGCCATGAAGGTCTTGAGTGGAGATCGACATGCGCGCGCGGCCGACGCGCGAAAGTGGCCCGCATAGTAATCTTTGGCACGGCTCTCTCCCACCCCAGCACGCGCAAGGGCGTTCGAATGATTTCGGCATGCGGCGCGAGAGGCCCATTTGGCAGAGGTCCATGAACATGTTGAAACGCCGGTGGCGTTCTCAAAAATTCGCAAGAGCGCGAGCGCAGGTTGTTTGACAAATGCTGTTGCGAAACCATATGTTTTTACATTCATTCGCGACAATCGGGTTCGCAATCATTGCGACACTTCAGGTTTCGACGGATTCTGGCGTGCACGCGCGACGACGCGCTCGCGCGCACGCATTTCGTCATATTTTGTGTAAATGGTTTTCGCGACAGCACGCGCGCAAGGGCGTTCGAACGATTTCGACACGCGCGCGCGAACCCGTTTGATGGGATTGGTGTGTATGGAAATGTCCCAACACGCGTGGTTCTTAAGAATTCGCAAGATCGTGCGCGTAACTTTTTTGTTGCTGTGCAATCCCGCGTTGCAAAACCATTATATATAGGGTTTCGGGACATTGGGTTTTGAAATCCCCACGGCATCTCAGGTTTTTGGAGGATTCCGCCATGCGCGCGCGCGACGACCGCGCGTGCGCACTTCGTTTCATTTGTTGCACAGGGGTCTGGGGAACTGATGATTTTTGATAAGTGAGTGCGCGCGCGTAATAGTTTTTCAAAAGGATGACGGGGGAGTCGATACCGGCTCGGGAGGGGAGTGGGAGGACGACAAAAACGACGATTCGGGGCCGGGCCCAGCGCTCCAGGCACGGATATTGTGGCTCTTGATGTCGCAGTTACAAATCACAGCGCAACACAGCGCAGCACGGCCGCGTGTGTGCGTGCGTGTGGCAGCACATCACGGCAAATCGCAGCACATGACGACACAGCAAAACACCGCACACACAACACTTCACAGCACATCGCAGTACACGCCGTTTGGCGTGCGCATGTGTGTGAGAGTGTGTGCGTGTATGTGTATGTGTGTGTGTATGTGTATGTGTTTGTGTGCGTGCGTGCGTGCGTGTGTGTGTGTGTGTGTGTGTGTGCGTGCGTGCGTGCGTGCGTGCGTGCGTGTGTGTGTGTGTGTGTGTGTGCGCGCGTGCGTGTGTGTGTGTGAGAGAGAGAGTGTGTGTGTGACTTTGTGCGTGTGTGTGTGCGTGTGCACACACTTGCTGCGTCAGCGGCCAGACAGAGTGATTGCGCTGGCGGACACACGCACGCAGAGAGACTTCAGAGTCACACGCACTCACACACACGCATACACACGCACGCACACGCACGACACGCGCAAACACACGCACACACATTCACACAAACGCATACATATACACGCACCCACACACAAACCCACCGATCCCAGCCAGGGCCATCATGGGCCGAAGGTCGGTGTGTATGCCTGCGTATCCAAGCCAGGAGGGCAGACGCACCGATCCTGGCCCCAGAGTTGGCCTGGCCAGAGTCGTTGTGCGTGTGTTTGTGTGTGTGTGTGTGCGTGTGCGGGTGATTGCGTGCGTGTGCTTGGTTCTCTTCGCCCGAGCCCTGGACGTTCCGAGCCCCTGGAGGAGCCGCCCTGGCCGAGGCAGCCCTGGGCCGAACTTGGCCCGGCGTTTGGGGAGCCTCTCTGGACCATCGTAGGGGCCTTCGTGTGGCAATCTCGGAGGCGTATTGAAACCTCTCTTGGTGCCTTTTGGGGCTTGGGGCTCTCCTGAGGCCCTCTTGGAGGCCTCTTGCTCTGAAGGCAACGGGGGCAGGTGCTGTCTGTGCGCCAGGCCTGGGCCCTGCCGCCCGATCTGTCCTGTCTGCCCTCCGCCTCCGCCTCGGCCTCACCCAGTATAGGGAGCAGGAGAAGGCCAAAGGAGGGAAGAGGTACCCCTGCCGCTACTGCCCTTCCCTCGCTCTCCCCTTGCTGGGCCTCCTGGGAGGCCCTCGTCGCCACGGCTGGATTCGCCTCAAAAGTTGAGTCAGAACGCGCACCTGCAGAGGTCCGGGGAGTTGCGGTAGCAGTACCTTTCTGTCTCCCCATTCGTAGGGTGGCGGGTCTCTGGGGGCGGCGTCGACCCAGTTTCAATGGGCCGTGTCCGCTTCGGGAGGTCTGCTTTCGACGATCGCTTGCTGGCAGGGCCCGGCAGCACGACTGCTGCGCCGGGCATGATGTATTACGGCGCGCGCTTCGCCGGTTGCTTGGGCTGGCTAGCGCGGTGTCACTTTAGCACCAATCGGTTACACTCGCATAGCCATCAAAATCGCGAAAGGCGGAACCATGAACGAGGAGGGGGATTATCGGAGGGTATCCTTCCTGACAGGAAAAGTGCTGTCACCTCTGGAGTGGGTCTGGGGAGACGAGCTCGAAGGTCGAGGTTGAGGTTTTCGGGCAGTTTTAGCGGCGTTCCTGGGACTTGTGCGGCCTCGCAGGGAGACTCAGGAGTTCTCGCTCACCAAATATTCCTCCTCTTTCTTCTCCTTGTCCTCCTCGAAATTATCCGTAGCAGCTTCGGGTCAAGATTTAGGAGCTCCTCAGTGCAAGAAGTGGATACCGCTGAGCCGCGTCAGCGCTCACCCGTCGGTCAGTCCGCCCTGACCGAAGGAAGCTCCGAGCTGGTCCGCCCCAGTATTCGGTTTCATTCTTCTCGGTCATGGCCTGTCTTGTTGGCTAGTGATTATGATCTGGCTGCTTACATCGGTGACTTCAGCGCTGTCCCATCTCAGGAACGCACATAGGGGAACAGGGAAACATGGCTCCCAGCATGGTGGTGGTGGTGAACGCAAGCGTCCTCGTGTCCCCAGTCCCAGGGGCAGTGCTGATGCCGACGCACAGATCATTTCTGATGGTGACGACGGAGCGGCCTCGGATCTCCAATTCAGACAGCTGTGCTGGGAGGAGTTTGCGGAGGTCAGGGAGGCCCTTACGTCGGAGCCTGCGGGGTCGATGTCGGTCACGGCTAACTCCAATCGCGAGGCCCCGATCGACTCCCTCGACGACCAGACGGTCACTGGCTTTGATCAGCCCCACCCGAACGGTCTGTCTCTGAGCTCCCCAGCTCGAGCGGACGGCCAAGCCCGACAGCTCGCTGGTCACGATCAGCCTCTCTCACCGGCCTCGAACGTATCCCTATCCCTAAGATTGACACGCCAAAAGGCGATGACAATCTTAGGGGTGCGCCCTGAAAAACTAAGGGAATCCCTAAGATTGGCATTGTGTTGAGGCGATGCCCAGCTTAGGGCGGGAAATATGGGGAAATATGGGAGATGGGGGGAGGACAAAGACCCAGAACATGTGGGAAAAGATGGGGATCCTGTTATTTGTGCGTATGTACTTGTGTGTCCCAGGGCCCCTTTCAGTCAAGGAATTACTCCAGCAGCGGCTGCAGTCGCTGGGCGTCTCCTGGCAGGATTGCGATCTCGAGCTGCGTGGTCATTCGCAAGGCAAGAGGCTCATTATCAAGTCCTACGGTATGGTCGACCCCGCCTCCTGCAAGGCGCGCAAGGCGTTGGCCCATCGCAGGGCCAGCAACGAGCGAAGGAGTCCCTGGCTGACGCCGAGAGGACCCTCGGCCCCGTCTCCACCGTGGGCCATGCAAAAGCCCAGTCCACCTCGGCCCCTCCTCCACCTCAGGCCATACAGAGCCGGACGGAGACCAGTGTCCGCAAGTGCCGGCAGGCCGTCGATGACCATTCCTGGCAACCAGATCAAGACCTTCGCGAGCGGGGAGCGGGCCACGCTCTCGCTTGAGCGGGCCCGCATCTGCCGTGCGGGGGCGGAGGCCGGCGAGGCCCGGTCCCAGATCGGGCGGGGCACTGCCAGCATGGCTAAGCGAGGACGTTGCAGGCGACGCGCCTCGGGACGGCCGGCTGCGACCCACAGACCGCGGCTGGCAGCCGCGGTCTGTGGGTCGCAGCCGTCGTCGGCCGCGCTGCGGTCGTCGCTGTCTTCTGTTTGATCTCTCTCTCTCTCTTTGTCTGTTCTCTCCATCTCTCTCTCTGTCTCTCTCTCTCTTTCTGCCTCCCCCTCTCTCTCCCTCACTATCCCTCCCTCTTTCTCCCTCTCTCTCCCTCTCTCTCTCTCTCTTTCTCTCCCTGTCCCCCTCTCTTTCTGTCCCTCTCTCTCTCTCTCCTTCATTCTCTCCCACTCTCTCTTTCTCTCTCTCTTTCTCTCTCTCTTTCTCTCTCTCTCTCTGTCCCTCCCTCTCCCTCTCCCTCTCTCTTTCTTTATCTCCCCCTGTTGTCCCTCTTTTTGTTTTGTCTCTCTCTCTCTCTCGCTCTCTTTCTCTTCTTCGTTGTTGTTGCGCGTTGTTTCTTTATTTCTCTCTCTCTCTCTGTTCTTCCAACTCCCTCTTACTCTTTATCATTAGTTGTATTTGGTATTCCTTTTCTTTGGTTGGTCCTCTTTCTCTCTCTCCCTCTCTATCTCTCTCATCTTTCTCTGTCCATGTCGCTCTCTCTCCTACCTTCCCTCTTTCTCTCTTGCTCTGTCCCTCTCTCTCTCTTGTTCATTGGTCTCCCTCTCTCTCTCTTGTTATATTGTCGTTGTGTTTCCCTCTCTCTCTCTCTCGCTCCACACATATTGACATATCATTTCGAGATCTCTCTCTTTCTCCCTCTCTCTCTTTCTCTCCCTCCCTCTCTCTCTCTCTCTTTCTCTCTCTCTCTCTCTCTCTCCCCCTCTCCCCCTCTCTCTCCCTCTGTCTCTCCCTCTCTCTCTGCCTCGCCCTCCCTCTCTCTCTCTCTGTCTCTCTGGCCCCCCTCTCGCGCGGCTCGCCCGCCCGACGAGCGTCGCCCTCCCCGGTGCCCGCGCAGGGGGCAGGGCGCCCAGGAGCGGCCCCCGGGGATTCACCAGCGTGCCGGCTTAGAACTCGACGCCGCCCCTCCCCAAGATCGCGGGCCCCAGGGGCGAGGGGGCGAGCTTCGCCCGCCGGCGCGCGCGCAGCCCCGGGGCGCGCGCCGCGCCGTGGCCAGGCCCGCTGCTCGCGCGGCGCGGCGTCTGGTTCGTGGGCTCGCTCGCCTCCTCGCGTCGGCTCGTCTCGTGGCTGACGGCTTCGCCGCGGTCGAGGCCGCGGCCTTGCGCCCTCGGCGCCCGACGCTCGGAGGGCGAAAGAGGGGGTCCGCGGCGGGGGTTTTGCAGCGGGGGCTGCGTGGCCCACGTATTCCCAATGCTTCATGACATGCATATGGTCGGGTAGGGTTGACGTCCACTGTTGGCGGTCACATAAGGGCCAGTCGTTCGCGCCCGCGCCTTGCCAGCGCGGGCAAACGCGCAGCCCGCCCAGTATCGTGCATGCGTTCGGGCGCACTTGAATATCGCGCGCAGGGCGGCGAAGTGGATCGCAAATGTGACTGGAATTGCGCGCTTGATGATCGCGCGTGTTCCACGGCGATGTCATGTCGACCCCTAAGACAGATTTGGAATTGGCCCCGCCATTTTCCCAACGCGCGAAATTACATGTCCCTTTATTCCAAAATGTGGATTCACAGTTTACGTTTTCCCAATATGTGGATTCAAATTTTGGCCTCTTCATAGATAGTATTATATTACTTCCCAAATTGAGAATGCACACTTTACCAACATGCGAATTCAAATGCCCCTTTTTCCCCAAGATGTGAACGCAGACTTTCTGGTACAATTTGAATTCGCATTCTGGGCCTTTTATGAAGAGTCGCATGGTAAATTCTCAAACTGATGATTTCATTGTTCTGTTTCTTGCTCCAACATGTGAATGTATAACTCCCTTTTGGCCGAAATTCGAATTCACGTCTTGCTGTCCCCCACAATATGAATTCGCATTTTGCCTAGGCCTTCAAAATCCCCTGAGTTGAGGCGCAGTGTTCCTCATGCCAGATTGTTTGGGCAGGGTTTTTCTTTCCGCCTCGTCCCCTTCGATTATTCTTCCGTTCTTTGCCTGCGCCCGCAGCGCACGTTGCCTTCCCCCGCCCCTTGCTTCGTTCACACTAAGTCTCGCGCGGAGGTGCAGGTGGGGAGCATCACTTGGCCCCCCCCGCTGAGCACAGCAGTCGAGGGCGCATCGCCCGCGCGTGGCCCATAGAGCCACCATTGGCAGGGTCTTGCGCCCGACCCCCGCGCTCACTCTCCAAGACGCCCCTCGGGGGGCTGTCGCGCCGCGTCCAGCGTGAGGCGGCGGGGGCCGCCGAGTCTGGGCTGATCAAGAGGCGTGAGCCCGAAGGCGGCAGCAGACAAGTTCGACTGCTGCTTCGCGGCATGGGGCGAGCTGCCCGGCTGTGGCCCCCCATTGGCAGGAGAGGCCTTCCCTTTCGGGCGTCGTCGACCCGCCGCCGAAGGTTGTCATCCCGGACCCCGCCGCTAGGATCCAGGCCCTGTGGAACTGCTGCGCCCCAGCTGTCTTCAAGAAGCCTTGGGGCGCTGCTGCCGCTGCAGGAAGTGCTGCGAACTTGTTGCCGGCGCAGGATGGCGTCGATCTTCATCCCCCGACGACGTGGATGACGCGATATGTGACTGACCGAGCGAAAGATAGTGCGACTGGCGTCGACGGCCTCCCACGCGCCGCCTGGAGCGTCAACGCCGCAGGCCCCCAGCTGTGGGACGCCTTGGAGCGGGGTGGGGGGGCGGGCGGCGCCTGTTGGATGCTGCGAGCGTCACGATCCAAACCCTTCTCCCGATGGCGACCTCCTCTCGCGAGATACGGGGCGGCGAGCGCCCCGCCCCCCGCGTGAGATTCGGGCCCTCGGCTTGAGAAACATGGTTGTTGAGAGTCTGTCGGCAGCAGGCAATCTTGCTTTCAGGCCGGCGGTGGAACAGACCGCTCCCCCGTCGCCATCGCGGGCATCTGCCGCGTCGCAACTGCGGTGGCCGCGACGTGCCCGAAGCCGACGCGAACGCCAGCGGACTCCTCGTCTTCCCACCCGGGCTGTCCGAGGTCCCCGGACGTCGGCCAGGCATCCCCCCTCGGGAGCTTTGAGACGGGGGTCGATACAAACGGGGGTCAGCCAGGGCACCAGATCCAGCAGGATCCTGCGAAGACCCCCTCTCGCTGACCCGGGTTAGGGAGCCGCTCGTGGCCGCGAGGCGGCCGCGCCTATTGGCTGACCCGGGTTTGCGAAGATCTGCGTTGCAGTTTTTTTTTGTTCCTGCATTGCAGTTGTTGGTTTCTTGCTGACCCGGGTCTGGATTGACCCGGGTCAGAGGATCCCCGACCCCCCTTCGGAATCAGGACTCCTGTCTGCCCATCCTTCGGACCCTGAAGGTTCAGGAGGGAAAGAAACACACAGACACAAATCATCGTCGACTCCCAGGAAAATATGCAAAC